AAAAAGAAACAGGACCGTGTAATCAGTACCGGTAATTTTATAAAAAATAATTTCATTGAATAACTACTGAATTAAAGATACTTAAAGTGATAAATGGCCATTAACTGTAATAATGTTGCACATTCACATTAGGAAAGGCTCTAGACCATGATTTTATTTTTTAGAAATAATTTTTAGTCTATAACTTTTTAGAAAAACACTAACCTGCATTAAGTTTAGGTTTAAAAGGACTGAGTAGCCCAATTCATTACAAATGTCAAGGCAACTGTAAAGCATCAATATTCAATATGCTGGAATACTTATGTCTCTTTAACTTAAAACACTTTTTATACCATACCAATCTGATAAGCTAAAAAATGTTCTGTGCACGATTTCTCGAAATGTGAATGTTTCCTGTCAATTAAGTATAAAGTAAGCTAGGTACACATTGTTACCCACATAGCTGAGTGGTATTCTCAGCTACCAAAGTTTTGGAAATGCAATCGACCATTTAAGTTAATATCTCAAAATGTGTATTCTTAGGGCTTAATTTTGAAAGGAAATCCACATTAGGCTCGGGTTTCAAGAACTTTCTTTCTAAAAACTTAAAAACCACTGACTATTAATACATATACAGATTAAACATCAACGTGAAACTGGCAATAGTAGGCTATGTTTAAGGCGTTGACTGCTCACACCGACCTAAGTAACCTACCGACAAAAGTCAAGATCTGAAATACATTGGGTCAAAATTCAAATTGTTTATTCAGCCATTAAACATTACAGTAATTTTTAATGCAACCAATGCGGAGCATTGGGGCGCAGGCCTTCAGGGGGGTGCAAAAACTGATATTCTGGAAAATGTTTAGCAAAAAAATATGTTGAAGCAAAGCTCCCTGTAGCTTACAAAAAAATAATGTAAAAAATATTCATGGTGCATTATTTTGTTACAGTCACAACAGAATGTTGGTGACTCTTTTGTTTATTATTATCGTGATCTCCTCGGTGTGACGTTGCACATCTGCGCTTGTTACGTTCTTATCACAAGAATTGACTGCTCTTGATTGTAGCTAACAAGAGCAGTCATTGTTTATTTTTGTTAGCTACAAAGATAGACAGATAAAATCTTACAGTATTATTTAAGTAGCCACAACCATGTGTCCCTGTCAGTCTTTGTTGTACGATCAGTAGTGTTATTTGTTTTATAATAATACAAAACAAATTTTTGTCAGTGTACATTTGTTCTGCAATTGAAATCAGTAGATCGTTTATTTGTGTGTTTTAGTGGATTTCGCTATACTGAACAAAATGGATGGAAATAAAAGACCTAGTGGTGCCGAGTTCCGTAAAAGGAAAAAACAATAAGATGAAAAAGTGAAAAAACTACCAAAGATTGAATCTTTCTCTAATTAAATAGTTTGTACAATGTAGTGTAGTGAAATACGGAGAATAGTACGGAGAAATGTCGTTTTTGGTTTCGTTGGAGACTATTGGGGAGGAGAATGAGTCTAGACGAATAGGGGCGCACAGGGAATACTTGCATTGGGGTGCAGTCAGACTAGTTACGCCTCTGGCGCCACCTGTTTACGCCTATACATTTTTCTCGTATGTAGGCTACCGGCTTATGAGTTTAGAATAGGAGTTTGGAAATTTTTTAAACACCATAGTGGCTTTGCCACAGGAGATCGTTCCCTTATTACTCAGCATTGAACGTGTTAAGCTAAAAATAAAAACTAAAGCCTAAGTTAGTTGTCATTGTGTTTAGTGAGTCAATAAATCACAAAATAAAAATGGGGAGGAGAGGAATGTAGCCTACAAAACACCCAAAACAACAGTCCAAATACCTAGTTGTTTTTTAAATCAAGCATTGGAAGGCAAAGATGCATTCATGTGCAGCAAACTATCTTGATTTTTCCAACTTCTCACTACTGAATTTGGATTAAATTTTGTACAGGCTACAAAAGTTACTTATGTGTTGAGTGCTGTTAGGTTAAATAGGCTCTGGATTAAGCTAACTGGACTTTTATGTGAAAATACTAACCAGATTCCTTACTTAGATTTAAGGGTGCGCTCTACCTCAGCTCGGGATTGAGTAGCTATGTTGCGCCATTGAACAGCGCCGCGAGAAACACTTGAAGACGTTCACGGCAACTGCCTTTGTTAACAACCCATACATGCTAGTAAAAAATAATGAGTGGGGTTTTACAGAACAAAGAACAATCTATGCGACCCTAGTTTTAGAATTTTAAAGTAACAATTCTATAATTACCGGTACCTAGTTAAAGAAGTTTAAAATTTCCGTTTTTCATATACATCTAAAGAAGATTTTCAAGCTTTATGGTATGATATTAAACATATTGAAACCACTTCAACCTCTTCAAAATGCCACCATAACTTAGATTCTACGTTAAGTGTACCCTTCGGAAACACTGTTGAAGCCCCAGACCCACTCGTTTAAACAAAACCGCAGGGGTAGAGCGCACCCTTAAGTGATTACCATAATGGGAAATAGGCCTAGACGGGTAGACTTACGTATCTGTTGTCAAAAACAACCGAATGAAAATATTGATTATTAATAATTACCATTCCATTTGATATATCGTTGGTTAGTTAGGTTAACCAGAGACTAAGGAACCAATTAAGTTAAGGTTACGGTAACCAATAATAGTGTTCTATTATCTGTGGGATAACCTACAAACCAAACGATATATTGAATCAAATGATTGATAAACTTATATCAAATAATTTTTCATTCGATTGTTTTAGACAACAGATATGGAAGTGTGCCTAGTAATTAAATTAGCTAGGGTACTTGTGTTAATTCAATTCAGCAAACATTTATAAACATAGGCATACTCTGTTTAGTTTTACAAATCCACAAAAAAATAATAAAACTAGACCTAACCTTGCACATGATAGTGGTTAACCTATCAAATTTATACAATTACAATTTAAATATGAGTTTTTAACAAAAGCAGTGCCGGCACGTTCTTCAAACTAACAAAATTCGCCTATATTTTTAATCCTAAATCAGTTTATTTGTTTTAAATAACGAATGATTAGGCCTACTAGAAGACCGCAATAGCCTGTAGCCTAGCTTAACTCCCGCTTTATTTCTTCTTGAATTCTTAACTTAAGCAATAATAAATAAATGGAGAGGTTTTATAAAAAACCTGGAGCGATTCTGGAAAACGTTAATAAAGTAAAAAATGTTGAGTAAAATAAAAAATACACAATCCGGCCGGAAAGTAGCCTAGTATCATAATCATAACCTAAAAACTCACAGTCGATGAAGAAATTACTCCAAAAACATTGGTTTGGTATTGGTATTGGACTGGTATTTGGGAGAGCACAAGTTCACATGTACAGAAACCTTATACTGACGTCATAAATATCGAATGTATATATCGATTGTACCGGGTGGTTATGGGGTTTTCTTCGGAATGTATGTATCGGTTGCACCGAATAAGTAAAGGGTTTTTTTTGTAACACTTTATTAGACGAATTGAATACTCTCGGTAGTTTATCCATTATAAATCAAATAGTAGAAATACAATAATATTCGTTACAGGCTGGGAATAAAATAATTACTGATACTTTGGATTGAACATTCTTGAGAAGCCCAAGAGGACTGTTTTAGATATATTATTTTATGGTTCTTAATTTGTTACCTTACACTGATGGGCAATATCTGTTAGTAAATCATTCCCAAACATTAACATAACGTTAACATGTCAAAGTTACAATTACTATTTCACTCTCTTCTAGAATCGATAATAATTCCTGTAATTCGTCTACTTTAATTACAGTTATTGTATTATTGTGGATGCTATGAAATAAATTCTTAGTATTCAACGTCCTGTGAACTCAAGTTTTTATTTTATAAGTCAGGTAAATACGAAAACAATTGCAAACATCTTGGATGTTCAATCCAAAGTATCAGTAATTATTTTATTCCCAGCCTGCAACGAATATTATTGTATTATACTATTTGATTTATAATGGATAAACTACCGAGAGTATTCAATTCGTCAAATAAAGTGTTACAAAAAAAAACCCTTTACTTATTCGGTGCAACCGATACTTACATTCCGAAGAAAAACCCGTAACCACCCGGTACAGTCGATATATACATTCGATATTTATGACGTCAGTATAAGGTTTCTGTACATGTGAACTTGTGCTCTCCTGGTATTTGGTACTGATACTGACTACCCCCACCTCACGCCACTCCGCAGGAGCAGGATAGGTCCAAAAAACAAAGAGAAACAAACAACCGTGCTATCGTATCCACTATCGTATCGATAAACTATTTCTGAGAACACTATATCATTGGTTATATCGATACGATTATGATTATATAAAAAACGTGACACAACAATCATTCATTTATCATAAACACCCTACAGAGTGTTTCATAAAATTGTAACGAACACTTATTCAAAAAACTGTTTTAATCCCTTGATAATTTTTTATTAATATAATCCCTAAATATTACTCGTACATTGCCGTGTTTGAATGCCGACTTTTTCATGTTTTATCAAATAAAATAAATTAATGTCACTGTTTTACTCAGTTTTTTTTTTCTACAAAATAAGAAAGTCCCATTATATGTGAAAGGGAGAAACTAAAGCTCTTATAAAAAGTTCTTCAATTTTCATTAATAAAGTCCATGTTATATATAAGATACCCTTATTATAACTTTCTTTACTTAACATAAAAATGTGGCGAATAAGTTTAAAGGTAACGTTTCTGTTTAATATATAACATATGTATCATTGTTGAGTAAAACATATATTTATACCTATATAATATTGATTCAAGTTTTCTCAAACGGACGAATTATCTGAATTTGCAACTTTTCATAAGTTTCAATATTTTTAAGCACCTACTCAATATTAATATTTTAGTTTTATCTTTTAACAAGGATAGATGCATTACAAAAACAATCTTCGTAATTCGCGCACGCGGGGTTTAGGTCGCCTACGGTAGAGTATTGATTGTTGAATTAGGCAGGGAACGTTGCCTCATACCTTCCGCTGTCGTCTTTTTGTTCACTATGAATCTGAAACTAAATACTATATTTCATTTTTTAGTATTTTTGTCAAGTAAGTAGTTATAAACTGTTCATTATCTTATAGTTCATAAAATACTACGGTATGATTTTCTAAACATTTTACAACGCTAAACCCAATTATTATGTCGATTCTAACCCTAACATTTGGTCATTTTTGAAGCAAAAATTGAGAGTTTGCACAGACATTAATTTCAACTTTTTCATCTTGAATCCTCAATAAATTACTAAATAAATAATCAATGTGGTATTGGTTTAGTACTTTATTAGGTGGTCAGAGATTTAATTATGTAAATTATGTATATACATCTTTATTGCTTAACAAAGAGGATTTGAATTGAATTTGGTTCTACTGTACAAAATACTTTGCGTCCTTTCCTTTGGTCTGGTCTATGTGATAATATGTTATTTGTAATTAATATTTTAGTAACTTGAGATTTTATCATTTTAAATGTATTTAATTCTTGAATCTGAGACAAATGTAAATGATTTTTAGCAATTATTAATTGCGTAATCAGCAACCCATCATCATCGTATTAAATTTTGACTAGTGTATTCTGTATAATAATTGAGTTTGTACAACAGTTTACATTTTTTTTGTATTGAATCTTTTTGATTTTTTTTTTAGTTTAACTTGTGGTAAGTTATTGTAAATGATATTATCTATTATCTACTTACAATCAGTCTCTAAGTCAAAAAATTCCAAGTGTGGAGACGTTTTGGAGGATTTAATGTATAGGAAATTATATATTCAGGATGATGGGAAATTAAAAATAATAATTAGAAGCTATGGATTAGACTCCACTTTTCAAAGTAAAGTTCATTTAGATTTAAACTCCTGAAGTTATCTATTCATTGCAGGTCTTTTAGCAACCTCATGGTCAGCCGCCACCGAGTCCATCAGGGCAGTAGACTCTAAACCTTCTGCCACAGAGGCAACTGTTGTTACAGTACCACCTCCAAGTAAATCTGCCAAAGTAAGGAAAAATGACATTTAACAAAAATAGAATTAGTTATAGAAGTACCTAGCTTTGACTAGCCTAGTCCTTGTTTTAGAATTAGGAGAAATCATGTCTCTTTCTATCTATAGTGTTGAGACTATGAATCGAAAACTGTTTGATCACAGGGAAGTAAGGTACAGAGGAAAAACGTTTATGCTCTGTACAACCGTGCGCTTTCAGCTCTTGTATGTTGTGCAAGAATTACTTAAAAACGAAAAAGAGTCCAAGTGGCGAGCAATGTACGAAAATTCATATTGCTTATCCTCCACAGCGAGCATTGTAGTACATGAGTGAGAGGGGGGGGGATGTTGGACTTTTTTTGGACACCAGCACTAGTGCTAGACACCACTTATTAATTAATGGCCAGACCATGGAGATGGAGTGTTGGAGTGTATTGGAATTGGAGTGTACTTATCTGTGATTTGATCCACTCCATGTAGTGGTCTTAGGTTATCAAGATAAGAGCCTCCAATAAGGAAATCTTAAAGCAACAATAAAGACTTGGATCAAAAGTTGATTCTGTAATGACTTTTAGCTTTGGATTTTGCAATTTTCTACAGTTTTGTATCATCAGTAATCAAGGGAATTTTCACCTTTACACATTCAGGATGAAAGAAGGTTGGTAGATGTTTTTAAACATCTGTGGCTGTTATTATTGTGATTGCCTCTGCAGCACTAAAATATCCATAAATAACATGTGCATAGGTAGGCCTACAAAATAAAAAATATCTTCAACACTCAAAGGTTCAGGATGCTACGCAGGCTAGGCTGTGGTTAGTAAAAAACCAGTTTAGATCACAGTTTTATTTTTATTTATAGCAAATCAACTGTGAGAATATGTCTTATTGTAAAGGGTTAAGAGCAATAAAGTGACATAGCACAAAAAAGTATTTTTATAGATCGTGTAATACTCTGAATCCACAAAAGCAACTTTTTCGGACAAACTGGCATGTATGATACAAATATTTGTTGTTTAGCCTAACTAATTAAACATATGATATCTTGTATAGGTAACCTTAGAGGCTGGAGAACTCACAGAAGTTTCAACCAAGAAACCCCTTGAAAAGAAAGAAGCAATAAGCAAAACAACAAGTAAGTCACTTAGTCAAGTAGTGGTATTTACTATAATCAAGTCAATGTGCGTTAAAAAACATAATAGATCAAATTGGATATCTTGATTCAGTGTCAGATACAATTTTACCTGTTTTAGCCTATTGATATCCAATCCAACCACTCATATGTGTCCTGTAACAGTACTGCGCCCTTGTACCCATATAATTTCTTAATCTCCTGGTAATATTTTTATTCCACAATACTTCCCAAACTAGAGTCTGTTCACAAAATTTATTTAGTTTATGATAGAAAGAATAGTTTGTTAGAAAATATAACTTAAATTAACTTTTCTTCCCTAGCAACACGAGCACCGGAAGTAACCACAAAGACTTTGTATCGTCTCAACGCAGAGGGAGGCACAGCATGCATCCTGCTAAGGACCGACGCTCTCATAGAGTTCACGTACACCACAAGGCTAAAAGAGGAAATCGTAAGTTATCAGGACTTGCCAAACTCTAATTATCTTTTGGTTGTTGCTAAAAGCAATGAATATAAGGGGGCTGTTGTTTAAGCCAGGTTTTCTACAGGTTCTAGGTTTCTTATTTGACAGAGTTGCACATAGAAATACATGAAAGAAAAAGCAATGAATACACAATTAGATCTGGAAATCTATATATTAAAAATTATTGGTTTTTCTTTTCCGAGTTCGTTTGGCTCTTCTACCCGAACAATTTTCATAATTTTAGTCTTAATTTTGCCACCAAGCATCATCATTCATTTATCTACCTACTGAAATACCCAACCAAAAAACAAAAATTTATTTTTTCAAATTCTTACTTGAGTTAAAGATGTATTTTACCTGTTCTAATTACATTATCCTATATGTTTTGGTCCAAGAACCTTCAGTGTAATACCAGCTTTCATTTGAGCTATTGATTATTAAGATCGAACCTACCTAAAGCATGCTGCTGACAATAATTAAAATTATTTTAGGACTTAACTGCAATCAATGGTACGTAATTCTATTTTTATTTAAGTTATTTTATATGTCTTGGTCTTAAAATGCCCCTAAAAATAAATGCTTTAATTTGAGATACTGATCATTTGAATCAGTTCATTTCAAGATACCATGTTACTCAATCAAAAATATATTTTATCACCATTATTGTGAATTTTATTTTGACCTGAGCAACGCAGGGGTTTTGCTGCAAGTAAAGATTTAAACAAATATCTACAACAACCAAAAATCATATTGTGAAAACAAACATTTTCTAATTATCATAACTCTTTGAATAGGATGACCTAATGCATTGCGACTTATTAATTTAGTTTGGAACGAGTTATTTATGTATTGATTATGAGATGACTTAACTTATTTAATTTCCTCAGGTTAAAGACATTTACGTGCCTGAAACAGCGGAAACAGACGGCACATGTTTAGAAGACGAAGCACGACTGGAACTTAAGTGGCCTGATTTTAATCTAAAATGGTATTTTGAAAAGGTAAGTAGCATAGGGGATTGTTTTAGGGAAAATCAATACCTCATGTGTTTTATTATAGAAAGTAGTTTAGTTTTTTTTTTATAATAAACTTACTCTTCAGAATCACTGCTATTTGCAGGATGGTATATATGGCTTAAAATGATTATATATAATACAAACGATTGACCTATTATATATATATATATATATATATATATATATAGTATTATATCACCTAAAAATGATTAGCAATCCAATATATGTATATCTGACTAATTTGTATCTAACTGCCATAAAGGATTCCTACAAACTTCACTGCTCGCCTTTACCACTTCCTTCACCACTACCTATGACGTGGACCTGTTCCCCTTCCTTCCCATAGCATTTCAGTATTACAGGTACAGGCATTTACTTGATTTAAAAAAAAATGGGGTGCCGGAACTCTAACCTATTTAACGTGATTTAAACCTATTTATCTACTGTTGTGAGAGTGTTAAATAAAAGAATATTTTTCATGTAGTTGTCTTTTATTCACGGTTTGCATATTTAGTGTGCATTTTTCCAGATCTCCTGGCAAAACTATTTACTGTATAGGAATACATATAAACCTTCGCAAATACAATATCTGACAGTTTCAAAGCCAAAATGAATGCTTCACAATTAAATGTCACCCGATTAAAAGGCAGACCTGGGAACTGGTCTGCCTTGATGAATCAGGAATTGTAGAGGTCGAGTGTCTTGTAGATAACGGGGATCGATGGTGGTCGACTATCATAGTGTTTCGATGAGAGATTGAGTCAGATACATTATGTGGACTTGAATAGTTAGGATTTTCAGTCATAACTATTTCACCTCTAGGTACAGTTGATGATGCTTGTGTAATGGCATTGGTAGGTGGTGGGCCCACCCATAAACTTCTAGCTTACTCTCAAATTTGATTTGTATCCTCTTGAGGTTCCGTTTTGGCTTGTAGTGGTATTTGTTCTTGTAATGTTCTTGTATTCTTGTAATTTCTCTAGATCACTGAGTTCTTTCTCAACTTTAAAACCTAATGCAAATGTAATAGGACGTCCTTTCAATATGTTTTGAATTTGAATTGTCTCTTGGTTTTAGGGAACAAGTGATATTGGGAATGCGTCCTATTACTGGTTTAAATACGGTATATCAGTGTACTTGTCTTCAATATTCCTCCCTTCCCATAGTATTTTATTTTAGTATACAGATACATTTATTTAACTGTCACTATAAAGGGTTCCCACACTCCTCACTGCTCGCCTTTACTACTTCCTTCACCACTTCCTATGACGTGGACTTGTTTCCCCTCCTTCCCATTTCACTTTTACCCTCCCTTTTGCAACAAACCTAAGTACTCGTTGAACTGATTCTATTAAAATAGGGAATATAAATATATTTTTAAGGAGACATTTTAGTGTAAATCCAATGAGGCAAATGGAAATCGACATAATGTTCTACCACTTGACCTATTATCTAATATATAAAATTCTCGTGTCACAGTGTTTGTCTGCAAACTCCTCCGGAACGACTTCACCGATCGTAATGAAATTTGGTGTGTAAATTCTGTAGGTATGCGAATGGGACGTAAACTATTTCCCGTTTCGAAATTCTTAAAAGGGCTCCGCCCCAGTGGCTCTGGAGTTTCCCATGTTAACCTTATGAGAAATGGAATTAATGAATCTTAACAGCTGTTTCAATTAAACAAGTTGGTTCTGTTCTATGATGTTCAATAGCATTAAAGTTACAAGGATTACCAACAGGGTGCAGCACTATTATTTCTTTTACATTTATAACAACAGCTAATTTGCAACCAAAAGGTGAGTGAGCGTAGCGAACGAACTTCAACCTGGAGGCGAGTGAGCGTAGCGAACAAGCTAACCTGAAGGCAAGTGAGCGCAGCGAACGAGCTCCAACCTAAAGGTGAGTGAGCGTAGCGAACAAGCTCCAACCCAAAGGTGAGTGAGCGTAGCGAACGAACTTCAACCAGGACGTGATTGAGCGATGCGAACGAGATCATCTTGAAAATTAAAAGTAACAGTACTTTCTTTCCATCGGTCTGTCTTAGGGGAAACCTATAACTTAGGCGATACGAAGTTCGCCGGGTCAGCTAGTAATAATATAAAAAAATAATTAAAGATTGGCATAATATCAAAAATTATTTGTGAAATTAAAGCATAAACATGACTGCAAACAGACAGTTCTCATTGCGTATCATAGTTTTTGTCGTTGCTTGGTTCAAATTATAGTTGTTTTCATCAATGAAAAAAAAATAATAGTGCTGCACCCTGTTGGTAAATCTTATAACTTTTAACGCTTTTGCATACCATAGAACCAACATTTTTAGTTGCAACAGCTGACTAAATTCTATAATTCCATTTAAATATGAGTACTCATAAGGTTAACATGGGAAACTCCAGAGCCACTGGGGCGGAGCCCGAAAGTATTTTTGAGATAAGAATATGCCTATATGTTAATCGGGAATGTGAGCTATCATCATGCCAAATTTCAGCCCAATCCCTCCAGTAATTAATGCGTGATTGAACTTCAAACAAACACACAAACTTTCACATTTATAATATTAGTTAGATAAGATATACTGTATATATATGTCCGTTAATTCAAGCAAAAATGATCCGATTATGATTAAATTTGTTACAAACGTGTGAACCTACATTTATACGAACGAGTTCGTGAACCAGCATAATCGGTCTATGGGGACAGAGGTTTATGGGGGGTTTTATGGTGTACAAATTTATTTGTCTCATTTTTTACCCTAAAAACGCAAAATTTCATAATTTCTCTCCAAACCATTTTTTATAGCTTAAAAAAAGAAATAACTTTGTATAAGCGTTGTTGTATGCCCAACGGTTACGGATATAATTAAAAAAATTGTAAATTAAAAATTCCCATGTGTTATTCTTATGGAGAATAAATAAACTGTTGTAGTTTGCTTGTTTATGGATATATTTAAACCAAATTTGGAAATTTTGTTTATTTGGTACTAAGCTATCATTATTGCAATAAAAAAACACATCTTAATACCTTCCCTGTAGCAGCAAACCTAAGTACTCAAATAAATCTGATTTTTTTAGGGGTATTTTAGTAGAAATCCAGCCAGGTAAATGGAAATTCACTTAGTCTGCAGGTGGTCTGCGGCGAGGGTATTTCATTGTACTGTTGTCTATAGAGTCCATGTTTTAGACATCCCTTATACCCAAACAATTAAAATACCTAAAAAACTTAGAGCTCTTAGAAAAAATGATCATCACAGATATAAAACCTCTACAAAGAGCAAAGACACCAAGAGTAATTGGTCCAGGCAGTGCTTAGGTGTGATTATTCTTTACCCAAGAATGTAAATACAAGACTACGCTTCTTTTACAGAGTCATGCTGTGCTCGATTTGTTGCCTCTTTTTTTCTGAGACTGTAGACCTGAAAAGATTGAATTGTTTTTTACTACCGTATTAATTAGTTGTTGTTTTCTAATTTAAATATTAATAACAGATTTGGATATGTTTCAGACCCCTGGAGGAGAGAGATGGTTTGTCGACAAAATAGAATTGTGGTTTGACGCTGGAAGCTCTCGACTGGAACACATTAAAAATCCAGGTAAAACTTTTGATTTCATGTTCCAACCATGTCTTTTGACTTTGATCACCAATAATTTTTGTCCTAATCCATTAAGTATTATAATACAAGCAATCACATCACATCTAGGTCTTCGGGTGATGACCACATCATTAAAAGATAAGTTGAATAAGTTCGCCCAGAAGATGGATATAGCAGTTACACATCCAAAATGTCAGCCTCTAGTTTCACTCTTTTACCGACGTATTCACCACCCGAAGACCTAGATTTGATGATCTACTGTAACAGTGGAAGTCTATCATCTACAAGCAATATTGTTTAATGAATATGCTTTATTTCCCTCATTATATTCTAAAAATAAATCACTTTAATTTAATGAAAAGCTAATGTTGTTTGTTTCACCTTTGCAGACCAGAAGCTGACACTGTCCACCCCCAAGAGTCACAGCGCGTTGTTGTATGTGACTCCAGTGGGTCAAGCCTACACCTGTCTGAGAGAACTAGAGGTCAAGCTGACCAATCCCCGTAGCGACATCAAGGCCACAGTGCTGCTGCGAGAGCTGGAAGTACAACCCTTCATATTTAAAAACAGCAACTTCGGTCCAGGTTTGTGCACAAAATCATGGTAAAACCTAGTTAATCTGAGGGTTAAACCTGCAATAAAGTGGGTTTTACAAAATATATACTGTGACTGAATAAAAAAGTACTATTATAGTACGTACGAAAACTGTTCAGAAACGTTTCCGCCTTACACTAATTGCACACTTTCTAGTATAGACGCCTTTGTCTACTCAATGACAGACTAGCCGTCACAGCACATGTATCATTGGGCTGCCCATTGTTACAATATTAAAGTTTTAAAATGTGCTGCAATTAAAAACCTGTTTGTTTCGAGTGATATCTATATAATGGTTTTTGTTGGACATTTTGTTCAAAACTGATAGAATTTTATCACCAAGAGTGTGAAGTGTTCCAAAATTGTGCATTCAGTTTCAAAATGGCCAAACTATAAAGTAGATGTCCCAAAATTTTGTTTTTGTATTACAATGCCCGACCTTAAACAAAAAAGATCTCCTTTATTCATTCAAATGAGAGATTCTTCGTTAACCACCCTCTACATTCTAGACCTTGCTCTGAGTGACTTTTACTTCATTCCAAATCAAGACTTGGTCGGTGTCAGCACAGCACTTTGGTCATGACTAAGAACTACAATAGCGTGTCACCGAGTGGCTGAGCTAGCAGGCGGGGCGGTATTCTAAGACAAAGGAATTTCAAAGCTCACCCATTATTAGTGTCTCAATTTCTGTGGTAACTGGAAAAGTAGTTTCTTAATTGCCATTTTAAATGCATGCGAGGGGAACCGTCCTATGTGGACAAAATGCAATGTGAAAAGCAACAACGACCTTTTAAAATAAATTTTAAGGTATTGACTGGAGTTAAGTCATCAGTTTTTCATAATTTACAGATTTAATCACCTGCTTATCAGTTTAGTTTTCAATTTATTTTCATATTCAGAACATTGTTTTCAACCTAATCCAGAGATAAATTAGCACGTGCCGCTTTTCCAGAATACCATTGCCCGGCACCAGGACAAAGCACGTACCGCAGTGAGACGGCACCTCTTATCGTTGGCAGCATCTTAGCCGCCGCCTGCCTCGCTACCATTACCGGCTACAGCGTCTTCCGCTACTTCAAGATCAAGAAGGTCCAATATGACACCATGGAGTAATCAACTCGGTGCTGCTTTCATCATTACTCTAAGCCATCTCACTTTCTCCTATTGGTAACTAATTCATTGTTTTAGCGATAGTCAAACACCACTAGATATTTGTTTTCAATATTTACAAGTTTTATCAAAATAAGATTTTGAACTAAAATTGTGTACAGTATTTTTAATGGATGGAAAACATGGATGTTTCATGGTTGCGATTTTAAGTCTATTACTTTTCTATTGCTAGGTGGAGTTAACAAAAGATTGTGCTTCAATTTTGTAAATTTTCATTCATTGGTATAACATCTTATTTAACCTATTATACTGCACTGGTAGTTAATGTTTTACTTATTTATTTATTGTTTTTATTAATGATTGTTTCAACCAAATTCGCAACATTATTTTCAAGCACAAGCAAAATATTTATTTAATTTATAAATACAGTCAAACCTCTATAAGATGAATTTCAAGAGGTAGGGGAAAGATTTGTACTATCGAGGTACTGTATTCTTAATAAGCCAATATAGTCACTTACTGTTTACTAACCCTTGGATTCATTTCTTCCCGTGATTTTAAAAGTGTTATTTCTTATATATAAGAATAAAGCTATTGTTGAATCACCTCTAGACTACCTTGGGTGGATAGTGATTATTGTTACTAACTAAACAAATTATTTGTTTGCACCCACTGATAAATAAAATAACAGTTTTTGTGAAATTGTGCCTTTATTCACATGGTTTACAAAAAAAAATTACTATAGAGTGTTTTTCTTTTAAATTATATATTACAACCCTCTCTAGTCAGATTTTCAATCTATAACTTACTATCCTATGATTAACTCTTATCCTATAATTATTTTTTCAACAAATTATTGTAGTAGGCTACCAGTCTGTGTTGAGGTGTTTTATGTTTTTCTAAAGGGCAGTGTAATATTTTTATACTACCTCAATCCTCATTTAAAAAAATAGTACAGGGGAACCTCTATAAAAAGACTTTCATGGGGATTATTAAATAAGACTTGTTATCAAGGTTTGAAATAACATGTGATTCTAGAGGATTTGAAAATGACACTTGACTTGTTATTGAGGTTCCACTGTATTACCATTGACTATTGGATACTGAAGTAGACATCCCATATACAGGGTGTCCATAAAAAATGTTTCAGGACTTTGGGAAATGAATCCTCAGCCTAAAAGGAAGAAAAGAGTTTATGTGAAGGTATGTCCGAAAAAGCATACCCAGTTATCTGCCACTTAGTTTTTTATACAAAAATATTTTTATCTGTTAAGTTTTTCATTCGATGGTAACCATGTTAACTTACAAAAGACCTATTATAAAAAAAATATATAAAATTGTTCCTATTGTAAATTTCAAAATGGCGGCCGTTTGAACTTTTATAGCTTAAATAACCCAAAAATGGCAAATTCTATGAAAAAATTCCAAGAATACTTTTTTTTAAAACTTGTTATTCCCTATCATACGACAGCAAGATCAAAAAGATCGGACAAAAGATAACTGTCAATGCTGAAATATAACTTTTTTGTGTAAAAATAAGGCAAAGTTAGTCGGGGAACCGTTACCTGGTCTTACAGCTAAAAAAACGTTCTATTTTAGTTATTTGTCGTTTGATATTTTTGATCTTGGTTTCGTCTGATAGGGAATAACAAATGCTAAAAAAAGTATTCCTGAAGTTTTTTCATAGTATTATTAGCAGTTTTTTATTTATTTAAGTTATAAAAATTCAAACATCCGCCATTTTGAAATTTACAATTGGAACAACTTTATTATTTTTTCCATAATAGGTCTTGTGTATGTTAACATGGTCAACAAATTTCATAATCATCGAATGAAAAACTTCACAGATAAAAATAGTTTTGCATACAAAACAAAATGGTGGATAACTTGGTAAATATGCATTTTCGGACAAACACATACAGTTTTTTCTTCCTTTTGGTTTGAGGATTTATTTCCCAAAGTCTTGAAACTTTTTTTATGGACACCCTGTATATGGACCAGCTGTAGCCAATATTTAGGTATCACTGAAGGACACTACTACAGTACTCCCATTTACTAGAAGGATCCTGATGTAGTCCACATTTTGTTATTGAATGAAACTAAGTTTTGTTTCTCAATTTAATGATTTACTGTACTTGAAAAATAACAAAGTGTGTGCTGTTATTTCCTTTCAAAAGTATATTTCTAGTGATAATATCTAAATAGAATTTAAACTCACAGAATTATTTTAAATATCATAATTTAGCAAACAAAAACTCATAAGTTTATTGTCTAATCAGTTTTTTAGTTAGCCTATTAATAATAATTTTTGTGGCTATGAAATAATATAGTATTACAATATAAAATCTCTGATTATGGCAGACAAATTTACAGTATTTGAGTTGTTAATGTTAGCTGAGTATATTTATGAATAATTTTTATATTTTTAATGTTCGACAAAACTTTCACAGCATGTGAAAGTTTTTAAACAAGAATTGTTGTTTTGAAGTGACACATCATGTTGTATAATTAGTTTTAAGAAAAAGCTAGGACTTAAACAAATTTAGCAATCGGCCCAAGTACTACTAAGGAGGCACTATAGCTTCTATTTTGACACTATATAATCCTCACTAAATTCATAACAAGAATATCTTGCAAACTAAACCTTAAGGATCAGCCTTACTTTTTATCTTTTGAAGTAACATCCAATTTAATTATCCTAATAAAGAATAATTCCATAAATCATTTTATTCTGCTAATGCTTCAAAATTGCAACTTTGCTTAAGTCCTACAAATGAAATGTACATATAATTTAAGTATAATTAATTGTTATTGTTGTCTAAGCACTATTGCATTAATTGCTGTTTTACTATTTACAGTACCACTTTCTCCATTATTATAATGTCAATAGGTGTACTTAATAAAAAAAAGTCTTACCCCGATTAATAATGTATTCAGATTTATGTTACTGATTTCATACATTTTCAGTATTTATTTTGACCCCTCTCACTTTTTACTCTATTTAAATTGTAAATCTAAAAAATAAACTACTCCAACTTAATATTATTGTTTTACGCAGGCAAGGTAAGATAGACTATTACTCCAATTTTCATTGGTTGAAGTTTACTTTAAAACATTCCCTGATATATAAATCTGAAAGTAAAAACAAAGGAGATAATTGTATGACCTGTTTATTGTTGTTTGTTCTGTATAAAAGAGAATTTAAATAATATTTAGAATATGATATGATTATTTTATTGTTAGTGTTAGTATCAGTCTGTAAGGGTCTGTAAGGGGCTAATGCTTTGGTAGCTAGTCGAGCATTTATAGAGCTCAAAAATTAGAGCATTTATAGAGCTCAAAAATTAAATTTATGCATCGTACAAATCTTTACTGCCGGGTAAAGTATTTTATTTAAAATAAATTGAACAAATTTATTTACTAGTGCTATACACTGATAATTTTGTTTCTGTAGTTCCCAAGCAATTATAGATATTATTTTTAAATACTTATACAATTAGTTTTAGGATAAATAAATACAATTAATTGAGTCTTTGGGAAATTCTTAATCAAGTGCATGAAAGTTATAATCAACTCAATTTGAATTTTGTAATACGAATGTTTTAAGTTTTAACAAAGATATAAACAAATATCAGATCAAGTTCATTAGTTTAAGTATTTTTTTGATACAATGTAACTTATAATTGGTTCTGATGTTTATGATACTCCCAAGAAAATGTATATAAATTACCTAAGTTTTTCCCGTTCACTTTATTTTTCTGTAAAGTTTATACAGTAAAACCTCAATATTTATAAAATCCATAGATATGGCTGAAATATTTCATATTTCCTTGTTCAAAATGCACTATTCCTTGATATATTGCAAGTTTTAAACAAAACTGTCTTTTTTATTTTTTTAGCTTGGAACTGATTTAAACATTTACTTCAGGCTATATTTAGAGGTTTGGGGCATTATCACTTAGATAGAATCCATTGGTGTTTGGCAGGGTTTGAACCCAGAATCTTTGGAATAGAAGTCGCATGCTCAACCACTAGATCAGCTTGCTCCCTTAGTTCTCATTTGCATAATAAATCTCTGTAAAACTGGTCATTCAACAATGTTTTTTTATAGAACGCATAAATACTTACGCATAAAGTATACCCTGACTAAACTATGTAATGTTACCATTCAGCCTATTGAGGTTCTACTGTACCTAAAATGTTGCATTATGCTGTCTTTTGTTTATAGAAACTAGTTTTGAAAGAATGTGTAAATATGAATCTTAGAGACTAGGATATTGATGTAAGCGTGACAGTGACATCGTAGCTTCGTACCTAGTCAATTCTTAGCATTATTGGGTGTGCTATAAAGATCGTTAAGTAATTTGTATTATTCAATCGTCTTCCATGTTATTTATTCGTTTATGTCAACTGAGTTTAAAAAGATTATAAAAGTGCTGATATATTAAATAATTGATTAGTGTTATTGAAATGTTTATTTATTTTCCTTCAACGATTGTTATTATTTCCCTACTTACTTATATTCATTTAGTTTGTTCAAATACTGAATAATTAATAGTGACTCCAAGTGTCGATTGAGGCAAAATAAGAATTAAAGAGCCTTAATTTCTAAATCAAACTACCTATTTTATTTTGGTATTAACGCTTAAACAGGTAATTTTCTTATTGCTCTTCTGTATTTTCCACTTCATGTTTTTAAAATGTTTTATCTAAACTATTACCCTCTGTCCAGTATTCGTTCAATCGGAACAAATTCTATACTTAAAATCCAAAAAAAGGGGTGTGATGTGTCAAATAAGCTTGAGTGCTACCAAATAACACAGGATAAATCTATAGTATGATGTCAAATTGAAGCTACGAATTTCCAAACTTTAGTTTCTCAGTATCACTAAATGAACTGCAATGAAATGTCAAATTCTCTTGTTGGAAAACCAAAGCAGGTATTAAAGTATTGTAAAAATGTTGGCATTTTGAATAGCTGGTACTAGGTAACACGGTAACACAGAACATTTACTTAGCAAGTGAATGTATAAAATGTTAATTTTATGTCTCCCAATTTAAGTCATGCTGGAATTGAGTTTTGGTTGACCTCGGCAAAGAATTTGATGTAACCAAACCACTAAACTTTGCCTACTGTTTCCAACCCCTTCCCGAAGTTAAATCCCCGAACTCTAGCGAAATTTTAAGTTACAATTCCAATGATAATGATTTTAAGAAAACCGGTTCATAAATAAGGGTGAAAATTAATTTTTACTGTACTGCGTATCAATGTCTGCTGTTGGGTAACATCAATACTAGCATTGACTTTATATCTACACACACAGAAGAGACAGAATTCAACTAGGACATTTACTATGCTTTAACCAAAGTTATATAGTCCTACAGATAAATTAAGTATTTTCAATCTTAGTTAATGTCATTACATGTTATCATGTCGTATTTACTTATCGTGCACTGTGCAGTGATAATGCCGTCTGAAATAACAATTTATATTTCCATAGTCCCAAGATGACTCGAAATCGAAATAATGTCAAAATGGCAGCATACTATAAGAAATGAAGTACTAAAAACAATTTAAATTGGTAATTTACAATAAACCAGCCACGAACTATTGATAGGCTACGTAAACAACGTAAAGCGTAAATAAGTCGTGATGGTTTGCTCAAATGTGTTAAAAATTGTTATAGGATATGAAATAACATTTTGGAATCCAGATAGAAAACGCAAAACTTATACAGTAAGACATCAATTGATTTTAATATGACTAAGAAAAAAGATGCAACAACAACGATATAAGTTGTAAATAGTAATGTGTTGCTAGTATTCGTGGTTGCTACCACGAATGGTTCTCGCTACCATACCGGTTCCAAGGAAAAGTAACAGTAAACACTAAACAGTGCCAAAAACCATTTAATTTATGAAACCATTTTATACCTTTTACCATTTAATTTATAAATAAAGAATTTATTTAAAAAACAGAAGACACGTTGAGTGATGAGACAGAGGGTTTGGACAGGTAGTTGTCCTGTGATGGGGAAGGGGGGGAGGGGGGGTTGTCAAGAGGGAGTTTCAAGTTACAACTCAATCGCTTATGAAATGGCGCAAGCCCGTGTAAGCGCCCGGGATTAGCACCCTCCACATTATTGAATCAAGACCCTAACCCAACCTCCACTGTCGTGTTGATTGTTGAATATCTGTGTTTGCTGGAGTGGCAATCCTGGAGCGCGTCCCACTGCTGACAACGTTGCCGATTAAATTTATGAATACAAGTTATCTATTAATAGTCAAGCATGTTT